GGCACTCTGTCTGGGCGTATGAGGTTAAGAATAAATTTAAAAGTAAATATAATCAATGACTACGGACTTCCTATTCCAAGTTCAAATAGCTCCTCTTTACACAGGCTTGTGGAGGTCTCTGCAAGATTCACTTTCTCTCCCAGTAATTCTTCTTTTAAAAGAAATTCAGCCGCACGGCGGCTGCCAGGGAAGGGGCAGGGCTCGCCCTCACGGACGATGAGGTGAAGCCTGAAAGGTCTCGATGCAGAGCCCGACCTAAGCAGGCGCGGGTCAGGCTCTGGGGCCGGCACCCCTGCTCTGCGAGGCTCTGCGGGGCGGGCTGCCCGAGGAGGGCCTGGCCCTGGCCCCATGGAGCGCTGGGACCTGCGGACTTACTTGACCAGCCGCAGTGTGTCCTTGCGGATGTTGACCAGGCTTCTCAGCGTCTTCACTGGCTCCTGGGGCGGCGGGGCGGCGTAAGGAAACTGCCGGGCAAAGCGGGAGAAGACAGCGGTGAGTGAAGACCCGTGACCGCCCCTCCCTGGCACGGGGCCTCGCAGCCTGGCCAGGTGAGGGGGGCAGGTGCCAGGCCCGAACGCCGGAGGACACGGAGAGCCGCCACAGCGTGTGGACTTGCTCCAGGTCACAGCCGGTAGAACTGGGATTTGATTTGGCGTCAAAAGAGTGAGATTTGCCCAGCTGGGGTGGCTCAGAGGTTGAGTATCGACCTACGAACCAGGAGATCGAGGTTCGATTCCCGGTCAGGGCACAGGCCCGGGTTGCGGGCTCAATCCCCAGTAGGGGGCGTGCAGGAGGCAGCGGATCCATGATTCTCTCTCATTATTGATGATTCTCTCTCCCTCTCTCCCCTCCTCTCTGAAATCAATAATAAAACAGTATTTTTTAAAAAAGAGAGATTTACCTGCTTTTCCCATTCCATGAAGCTCACCTGAGTCAGCGTTCACAATGTGGATCGCTAACAAGAACGCCTACAAGTACCAAACGGACACACACGCGGTGTCCGCATTCATCACAAAGGCTTTTCCCTCTGACCTTGGACGACGGGTGCCAGACCCGCAGGTGTTCCCCTCAGAGAGGCCACACGCGCCTGGGGAACGTGGGACTGCGAGCAGGGAGAAGCCGGCCGCCCGCGCAGGGCACGGTCCTCCGTTCCCGGCCCCTCAGAGGCAGCAGAGGCCTCTGGAACCAGCGCCAGGAGCTCTCCCGGGGCCATCACGGTCCCTGGCTGCCCGGCATTGACCTCACACTCTCCCGCAAGGAGGAGACGCGAGGAGACACAGGAACACACTGAACTGGGAACTGCCTTCAGAAGATGGATTCTCCAATGTGCCCCGCACGGTGCCGATGCTTTGTGGACAATGAACGATTTTGGCATCTAATTCACAGAAAACCTACTAGACGGTGTAGCTCTGCCTCAGCGTGGCGCTCCCGAGACAGCCTCGCTCCCTCCTGGAGCGGCTTCGGGGAGCGGGGCCCACCGTCCACTCTGCCGGGGCCTCCACGGGGTTCTGCTGACGATGGTTCTTTCACTCAGAAAACACAGCCGACAGCACCTAATTTTATGGATCCGATATGATTGCTGATAATTCACATGCGTGCACATGGCCCTTGAGAAAACACATTCAATCTAAACTGTCACATGTGTATCCAATTACCCTCTGTGGGTACCGAGCAGCAACATTTTACTTTCTCCGTTGATACATTAAACACGCATCCTTTTAAAATACCTGATAGTGGGGTTTCCTACTTACAAAGCAACGCATGTAGGGTGCCCCCCCAAACGTATACGCACTTTGAATAATTATTCATCCCAATGGGCTAAATCTGAAAAGAAAGAAACATCAATTGAGCTATCAGAAAAAAGGGTGTCTACCTTTTTTTGGGGGGGACACCCCGTATTCAAGCAGAAAAGTTGAAAAACACACAAAAAAGTACAAAATCAGCTGCCATTTCACCACTCAGCGATTTAGACCGAAGCTAACACGGCGGGGTCTTCCCCGGGAGGCGTCCGTCCACACCCGGCCCGCCTACCTGCCTCCGCTTCTCCGAGCCGTTTCAAGCTGCACACGCTGCTTTACAGCCTCTTTTCCACGTAGAACAACGTGGTGGACACTGGTAAAGCCGTGATCGGACGTGACCTCCCACGGCAGCGGCAGAGGCACGCTTGCTGGAATCAACCCCATAGTCCTCCCTGGTTTCCGCTGGTTTCACCTCGTGTGTGTTTGTGTTTTATTTTTCTGATATAAATGTGGTGAGTGCCTGGGTCCTGCATTTCTGCATGCTCGTTTGATTCCTTCCTTAGGACAAATTCCTAGGCCTGGAATTTCTGGATCAAAGAGTAAGCATATTTTTTAAGAGTTTTAAGAATATGTTTGCCAAACTGTTCTCCGGAAAGCTGGTTCTGGTTTTCTCTCCCACCGGCCGCGTGTCAGAGGCTTTTATTCGGGGAAGCCGGAAACCCCATCAGCCCCGGCTGTGGCCCATTTCTCTCCCTCGACCCCCACTTCCACCAAAGGAATTTAAAACGATTTTCAAATACACTTAAGCAAAAAGAAATTAGGGCAGCAAAATCCGACACAAATGCTAGTCTATAGTAAAGCCAAAATAAATGACTTTGGGATTAAAATAGTTTTCTGGAGCAGCACGTTAATCATATACATTTGCACAGGCACGGGGGAGTGAGCCATAACTCCTCCCGAGTTTAAAAAAAATAAATAAAAGACCAGTCCTTCCTTCCCTCTTTGCCCTTTTTTCCTCCACACCCTCCAAAAAAATAAAAACAATAGAAAAGGGGGGAAAAATCCAACGAAAGCCTCGTGATCTTTGTCTTCCATTTAGAATGTTACCTGAGCCTCAATTCTCTGTCACAAGGTGCAGGTCCATGTCATTCTGTGTCCGCCAGTCTTTACCTGGAGCCTGCCTTCGTTATGAAAAGTGAGATGGCCCTGGCCGGTGTGGCTCAGGGGCTGAGCACTGACCTACGAACCAGGAGGTCATGGTTAGATTCCCCGTCAGGGCACACGCCCGGGTTTTCGCCTCGGTCCCCAGTAGGGGGCGTGCAGGAGGCAGTCAATTGATGATTCTCTCATTTTGATGTTTCTCTCCTCCTCTCCCTTCCTCTCTCTGTAATCAATAAAAAAATTGTTTTTAAAAAAGAAGGAACGAGACTCAAAAGATTGGTGTAGTTATGGAAGGCCCCAGGGCTAATGAGCAGCAGAACCAGGATTTCGACCCAGAAGCCACACTCTTTCTGCTGCAGCTGCCTCGGCTGCCGCGGGGCCGCCTACAGGTGGTTCTGATGCCGGGATGTTCTAGGAACCTGAGCAGAGTGCGGGGAGTCTGACAGTTCAACAGTCACCTGCTCAGGTTCTGGGAGCGAGTCCGAACCCCCCGGAGGTCACCCTATGCGTCAGCAGCAGCACATAAAAAAGGCACCTAATGCCACCCCCCTTCTACATTTAAAAATATATTTTTTTATTAATTTCAGAGAGGAAGGGAGAGGGAGAGATAGAAACATCAATGATGAGAGAGAATCATTGATAGGCTGCCTCCTGCACACCCCCCACTGGGGATCGAGCCTGCAGCCCGGGCATGTGCCCTTGACCGGAATCCGACCTGGGACCCTTCAGTCTGCAGGCCAATGCCCTATCCACTGAGCCACACCAGCCAGGGCTCCTCCTACATTTTAACAGGAGTGTCTAAGGCAGTGGTTCTGAATGTGGGGCACACACCCCTCAAGGGGGGCAATTTGATGTTTAAGGGAGGCAATTCGAGAATGAGTTATGAACAGTGAATTTTTTGCATTTCTTATGGTTCTAGGGGCCTCATATACTGTATATAAATATATATTGTGACGTATTTATGCATTTCAGGTCTCTATTATATGTTTTGAAACTTTATTTGCTATTTTTTCCTATCACTTCATATTATTATTCTTTTAACAATTTCTCAGCGATTTCCTCCCCAGGACTTCAACTGTCCTTCCGTTCTTTTATTTTTCTCTTTCGTGGATGCCATGCTCTTTGGAAGCTTGTTTAGACCAACTTAATGGCCTTTCAGGCTTCCTCCCTGTGAATAGGAGTTCACTGTTTGAATAATAAGAATTCTATGTCACAGGGAGGGGGGGGCATCAGGATGTTAGAGATGCTCAGGTGGGCGTGGCCAAGAAAGGGGGGGACCACTGGTCTAAGGTCTTCTCAGAGCCCAGCTTTCTCGGAGCACAGCGAGACAGAGTCCTTGTCGGTGACTCTCACGGCACCTGCAGAGGACACACATGGCCATGCAGGGGGCGCCGATGGCAGGGAGCTCTGCGCAGCCGCGGCCGCTGCTCACCTTGCGCCCAGGAGGCTGGAACGCGCGTTACTGACAGGCGTGGCGGCTGCTCCTCTGAATTTCCAAGGCCCATTCACTCCACACTCTCCTCTGCCTGCTGAGCCTGGGGCTCAGGGATGGGCCAGGCACGCCTCTGAGTTCCGTCTGTAGGGCTTACACCTGCTGCCCTGCGTGGGGTTCAGCACCTCCCGACGGGCCTGCAGTGTCTGTGCTGAAATGAGCCCACATCTCAGAGTAATGTGAATCCCACAGGCCTCAGGCCCAGGACGGGAGCATATACAGCGTGGGTTCAGCCAGATGAGCTCATTCAAAGGGGCCCCCCCGGGGGTTGCCAATCAAGACTCTGAGTAATTCTGCGCCAGCTTCCCTTTGACCTTTAACCCTGGTGTTCATCAGTTTCTTCTTTCACGTTGGCCTCACGTCGGCAAAGTGCCCCCTGGTGACCAAATGTGGAACTGCTACTGTGTGTGTGTGTGTGTGTGTGTGTGTGTGTGTGTGTGTGTATACACACATACAATATGTATGTACACTAGCATATCAACCATATATCCTAGATACTTTTTAAGCCATTCTAATTTCAACTACCCCTACAAATGCATTCACATTTTTGCTGTAGAAAACGTGGTCACAATGCATATGAAATGGAAGGATACCTTGTTTCAGTGGTAAATTACTGGGCAATTCCCAGGAGCCTCTAAAAGGACATAACCCATTCATAAAAATAAACAGCTTCGGTAAAAAGCCTTTTAAAAAGGACATGATTTGCTAGTATTGCTCTTCGTCTCAGGCCCGATCGCGTGCAGCGCATGCCCGCTGTGGCTCTGGAGCACCTTCGAGCCGGTGCCCATCCTGTGGCCTCCCCCATCTTCTTATTTTTCTTTTTTTGGTTAATCCTCATTGAGGATATTTCCCACTGATTTTAGAGAAGGCGGAAGGGAGGGAGGGAGAGGGAGAGACAGAGACACAAGCACTGGCTGCTTCCTGCATGTGTCCTGGCCGGAGCCAGGGATCGAGCCTGCAACCCAGGTGTCTGCCCTTGATGGGGGAGCAAACCCTAGACCAGCGGTTCTCAACCTGTGGGTCGCGACCCCTTTGGGGGTCGAACGACCCTTTCACAGGGGTCGCCTAAGAC